GGGCGTTCATTTCCGACGAGTGCTTGCGGTGTTCGGCCAATCACAATGCACTGGGTCAGCTGGCCAATCAGAGCAGACTGCGCTTGTCGGAAGGAGGGACTTTGTAGAAAACGAAGCGTTTGAGAGAGGCGGGGCATAGAGGACCTACAATAATGTACAGTATTTGAAAAATAATGTGTTTTTTGAACATTAAAGCATTTCAACATATTCTGTTACACCAAAATAATGATCTTTAAAAAAGCATCATATGACCCCTTTAATGCAAATACCTAATAAAGGCCCCACTCTAAAAAAAGATGGCTCATTACTGATTTTCTGGAGCTCAGCCATCCATCTACACAGTCAACACACTCTCAACAGGTAAATGATTTCTTTCTTAAAATGTCTACAATTCTAACTGTCAATTTGTAACTAGTTTCCTACCAATGTCTTTTTCTCTTTTTTAGTTTAACAGAACATGTAAGTGTGAGCAGCTCTGTTCAGTTAAGGATACTTCTCTCCTCTTCACCACTAAGTAAGTAACAAAGATACTGAATTTATGGTCCATATTGTTAGATTTTCTCAAATTTATTACTTGTATTTATGCATAAACATACCCAGCCACAGCTATCCCATGACTTTATATTACTTTTTTCCTTTTAACATTGTGAAGCGCTCATATACTACTGGCTTTCATAAATAATTGTTTTTATATAAACCAATGTAAAGAGACACATTGTAACTCTAAACTCAATTGCGTATTTCAGATGCATCACATCCCACAACCTCATCATCTGTAGGAGAAACTGCCACTCAGTCACACCAAAACACACATAATGATGGACTTAAAGGCATCATTGAGGATTGTGAAAATAGGGTATTTCACTGTAACTTGGTCTTCATTACATTTTCTGTTTCTATTTTAACTTTTTTAAGTATTTATTTATGTTCAATGTCAACTGTCATTTATTAATGCGTTCTGCTAATAACTGTTGTTAGAGCACTGTCATTTTTGCTATAATTTCACATGTTATTAAAAAAAAAGTACCTAATTGACACAACATGCTGTTGCTGTGGTTGTTTTTATATAAAACCCTAATGGAGGCTACAAGATATTATAAGATCAGGCAGATAGAGTGATAGAAAAAACAATATTAATAAATAATACAAATAATATTAATAATACTAATATTAATTATATAAATATACAGTCACACTTTATTTTAAGGTCCAGTTCTCACTATTAACTAACTATTAACTACGACTTTTGTCTCAATAAACTCCTAATTACTTCTTATTAATAGTTAGCAAGGTAGTTGTTAAGTTTAGGTATTGGATTAAGGATGTAGAATATGGTCATGCAGAATAATACATCAATATGTGCTTTATAAGTACTAATAAACAGCCAATATGCTAGTAATATGCATGCTAATAAGCAACTAGTAAATAGGGTGAATTGGTCCCTATACTAAAGTGTTACCAAATATAATAATAATAATCAAAATAAACTATCATTAAAAAGGTTAATTATAACACCATTAAGGTCCTATATAGCATTTTCAAAGCATGGTTCTTTATGGAACCCTATAAAAAAGGTTCTATTTAGCACCAAAAAGGGTCCTGCTGCTGTTACAAGCTGAAGAACCCATTTCTGTGTACAGAAGGTCACACTACAACTGATATTTATTAACATACTAAACATACTTTAAAACTCTTTTAAAAAGGCATGAAACAATGAGACCTCTTAATACTGAAGGCCATTGAGGGTGTTGCTAAAGACAGGACATGTTAGCAGAAGACTAATGATGTACCTGGTTCCAGCTACAGCTCCATCGTTTTTCCCTAACGGTTCGTCCAGCTCCACTCCACACCACTCGCCCTTGGCAAAGTCAGTCTCTCCCACATAACGCACTACTCCTGTTTTAGTTCCGCCAACCTGAGGAGAGAGCAGAGGAAGTTCAGAGGTGCATAGTGATAACATGGACACATGGTTTATTGTGATAACAGTATAATGAAACACTCGACTGAAAAAGGCAAAAAAAATTAAAAACAATTATTAGTTTTATTCTAATAAATTACACACCATATGAGAATTATATTAAATTAATTATATATTTTTATATTTATTTTACATTACTTACATAAAAAATAACTACAATTGAATATATTTCTCTTTCAACTCATGATGATACTCTTAAAATGGCCAAATATATCTATCACTAATGAATGTCTGTCTAAAAAAATTAACGTCTAGGAAAATAGAGCTGGTCCCACTGAATGTCAGCAGTGCAGTGTAGTGTAGTAAAATCTGCCAGCTGGTGCTGAGATATAACTGGGAATGACTGTTGTGCTAGTTGAACTGGCCTACATTCATCAACCCAGCACTGGGGAAAAAAGGAGGTCACAGCCTATTCATTAGTGATGGCACAACTACTACACATAAGAAAGCATATTGTGTCCTTTAGAAACAAAGAAGTGTATACACATTCTGTGTGCGTCAGAAGCATGCATTCATATTACTTTTTTTTTTTAAATCTCCCTCTTTCATATACACACAATCGCAATTGCCACAACAAAAGAGTGTAAGAAAAGTCTCTGGTTCCAAGCAAGTCACATTCAAAGCTTTTCTGATAAATTATGCAGAACATACAGAAATGTAAACTGAATTAAGACTCTCAAAGGTAACAGGGTTTCAAAGTCACAATCTGAGATTTGCTGACCTTTCTCCTTAAAATTGTTTCTTTGAAAGCAATTCAGACATTATTATATATGATTGGGACATTTACTGACAGTTTTCGTGACATAAACCCATTTGAATTCTTCTTTGCTTTGCTCAGAAATAGAAAAACCTGTTTGACATAAGTAATAGATAAATTTAGACAGAGCAGAAAGACTAAAAATCATGGTTTGATATTGCAGTATTTGAATTAATAAACTATTCTGGCCAAACAATACACTACACAAAGATTAAAAATCTCGTCATCTCAAGTGCAACTGATCCAAAAATAGCCAATGACCGATATGTTGTCCTTTCAGCAGTAAATAAACCCTCTCTAAAACAATATGATCCTTTGAATGCATCAAAATGCATTTGTTTTTTGATGTTCTGTTTTTGTCAATCATTCATTGAGTCAATTTCACATTTTACTAACATTTAATTTTACAAACATTTAATTTTACATTATGCCCTAAAATGAACAAAGAAGAAGAATTCAAATGGGCCTAGTACAGAACCTTGGGGCACGTTTTTACAAAGAAATCGTTTTTACTCTTCCTTATCAACCAGCCTTACACTCGAATGGTTTCTAGCAATGCTTAGTCATATGATACAGCAAAACATAACACGAAAAAGCAGGAAATCATCCATCATTTGGCTCAATTCCACATCTGAGAGCCATTATCTAATGACTGCAATAACTAAAGGAATAGCAGCAGATAAAACAAAGAATTAATGAAAGTCATACCCTCTTGGTTAGGTATCAAAAGAATGTCTACTATGAATTGCTTTGAAACAAACCTACACACATCTACAATCATACCTCCCAGCCAAAGGCATACACAGACCGTTTTTCTGAGTCTGAGGTTTAGCCTTTACCAGAGAGTGTGAAGGAGGAGATATGTAAACAGTGGACCATAAATGCATAAACACATGCTTACATGTTTGCCCTACAGTCATGTCAACATTTACGTTTTAATCTGACTCTACTCAAATGGAATGAAAAGCCAAACTGCTTATTTGCAGCTGCTGTCAGTTTGCGAAAAGCCTAGTCTCAGCTCAGACAGCACACCCCACGTACCGCCCACAGTCTGTTCACTGACTGTCTGATGCATATTGCAGACAAGAATTGCAAATGTTGAATGAAATTCTGCAGTTCCAATTTGATTGGCTGGCCTCTAAGCACCACTGGAGGTCAGTTTTTAACCGGTCCACCTGGAAACAAAAGTTCTGCATACATTTTAACCATTCTCTATGGCGCTGTTTGTACAACTAATTGCAGAGACTACTATGTCATTATTTGAGCTTTTCCCTCCACCACTATCATTCTATTATTATAGTATGACTGACTTCAGATTTATCTGCCCCTAAATGACATGCAAAAACAAAATGTTGGTTATACAGTCTCATCCTAAGTGGGAGGTTCTTGGCCATAAGCTGCAGTATGGACCACTTGGACAACATTGTATGTCAATAATTAAAAGCCTAGCTCTGTAAAACCTTTAAGAAAAAGAAGTGTGCCTAATAATTGAATGTGCACTTGTACTTCAAATATTAAAAGTATATTTAAAAACTGTACTTGTAAATAATAATAACAAAATAGTACTTAAATGTACTTTAAGAGAGTTCACTCTCATTACAATTTTTTTTTAAAGTGTACATTTAAAAAGTGCAAGTTGTAATAAAGCCAAATTCAAGGTTTTATTTTAAAGTACATTTTAAATAATAGTTTTAAGAATATTTTGTTGTGCTGTAAAAATAAGTACACTTCTAACATACAAAAGCAAAGTCTTTGATTATAATTTTAACTGTAATGTGTTATTTGATATTACATTTATAGTTAATATATATTTAAATGTGCTAAATTGCAACTTTATCACTACAAATGTGTAATTGCAAATGTATTTAAATACATAAAACATAAGTTTCAAAAGAGATGACATTAAAGTTTGTTTACCATAAATGCTTGTCAGTACAGTTGGCAGCTTACTTTAACCATATTTCAGAAAGACAATAGAGGTTATTTTGGAATTACAAATGAAGATGTGCTTAAGATGTACTTCAGAGGGTCGAAAAAGCTCTCTAAAGTTTGGCTAATTGGATTTAATATAAATTTAAACTATAACATTTAATTTAATTGTAAATAACATGACAGTGTTCAAAAACTTTACATACAGTTCACAATAAACTATATTCTTTAAAGTGTATAATTTCTGAAAAAGTATTCTTGGTTTTTGGTCTCTAAAAAGTATTCATGTAATTGAAAATTGAAAATGTAATCGGAATCAGAACCAGAACAATAAAATTACTTACAATTTCCTTACTTACATGAGAGCCCTAAAAATCTGCTTTAATTCATGTCAAAGGCAAAATTCCATATTTTCCTGCTGTCAGTTTGTGGGACCTTTTCAATCTTCTAAAAAACACAGATCAAATGGCCTCAACAAAAGTTTAAAACTGAAGTAGAGGTGTTAATGTTTTCATCAGGTGGTGTTCTAAGTAAGCACTGCGAGACATTCTGCTCCAGAAACATCTGTGGTTTGGCATTAGAAAAGAGAGCATCCGGAAGAGAATATATTCAGACAGGCGCATCACATCCTCCTGCCAGTAAGTGAGTCTGTGTGTGTGCAACTGTGTGTGGCAGATGAGCCATAGTACGCTCCAGTGTGGATAAGGTGATAATACAAACATTCCTGAGGGAACGTTCCAGATGTGCAATATTTACTTTATCATGTCATCTCACTGCTGTTTTTTCATGTAGAAATGGTTGGCGTCCCAAACCAAAACAGCAGCAATTTACGAGGGTAAAAACATATCAAACACACGTTTGGCAAAACCTTCCAAGTCACTTAAGAGCAATATGGTTTTGAGCTGCTATCCTCTAACAGTCCTTCTGGGTGAGAGAAGATCTAGACAGACAGACAGACAGACAGACAAACAGATAGATATAAAATATGGAAATAACTTTTACTGTAACTTCTGACCACATTGCAGGGAAGTGCTGTTCTTATTTTGTATTTTTGTCTTTTTTTTTCAGAGCAAATGTCTAAAGATTCTTAAATCAAGATGTATTGAAAAGCAAAATGACATACGATAACAAGTCTTATTTTTTGAGAAAATTATCCAAATAAAGTGAGTTAATGAGTTTATGATTATGGCTCAGAAAAATTATCTTAATTCAAATGAAAAACATGTTTTCACAGCTCACTGACAGATATTTGTTCTTGTATAAACTCACTTAATTTCAATCATTTTCTCAGAAAGCAAGACTGCTTCCGAAATCACATACTGCCAGAGTAGGTACTACATTTGATAAAAACTAACTTTGTGACCATTAAAGGCAGTTGTATACAGTATGAATGGATGTAGTACGAAAGCAATCCAGACGTACTATAACAGCATCGTTATGTGAACTATATCGTCATTTGCGCCATTTTCTCACCATTCACAACTCTCAAATGGCTACGTTTAACAAGTGTTCATCAAATGCACACTTGACATAATCTTGACACAAATAGTAGGTCATCCAGGTACTTTTCGCCTACTGTCTTTCAAATACTGTGTATTTGGACATATTACTCCTTTGGCGTGCTGTTTTTGCATACTATATACAGTGGGTACGGAAAGAGAAGTATTCAATTACAAGGTGTTATCTCTGAATAAAAAGTGACAAAGTCTGGGTGAAATAACTAATTATTAAGCAGGGTGGGTGCTTTGTTCAGTTCATTGGTTGTTGACTGAATGAAGACAAATCTTAATGCAAGCTTGCAGTCAATTTGAAAAAGGTTTATGTGGACAAAACAATTACAGATGTCAGGGATACATCACCAGAGAGCATTACAATTTTAGGTCCAAAAATAGAATAATAAAAATTAAACATAAACATGGATAAATCGTTCACAATAGGATTTACAAAATCCTACAAAATAGATGCACAGGTGCTAAATAATTTTAAGGCACCAAAATAGGCACCACATATTTTTTAAGTGCCAAATAAGAATGAACTTGAATGAACATTTTACATTTTTTAAATAGTTTGCAACCTATAAACTCTTAGCTCCTTCCATTCTTTTTTTCATGGACTAGACACTGCACATGCCAACAGTGTTTTTTGTGTAGCACTTTTTGCGATTACATGGTCACAAGTATTTTTATGCTTTTGACTATTGTCGTGTTTTCTCAGAGTTTCTCTCTTGAAATGATTCTTATTGCTCAGCCTGCTTTGGAACAAAAGTCACGAAAACAGTTTCTGTGTGTGACAATCATCCTCAAGTCATGCAAGCTCTTTGAATTTGAATTTGAAGTTGCCTTTCTGCACTTTTACTTGGGTGTTCACTGATCGACATGAAAAGATGATCTCAGCAGGTGTGTGCCATCAGCGTTGATACTAGACAGAGATGAGGACTGGCATGTTTTTCTGATGCGGAAAGCTATGCTTTGCTTTCTTTGTACGTATTTTGGTGCACAAACCGAAAACTTGTGTGTGCTGTATCTCATTTAATCACATCAACACAATGAATGATGTGACAGGCTACTCCTCACATAACAAATTTCTACATAATAAAGTGTAAATTTATGTTGTCACCTGTGACAATCTCAGCAAAAAATATTACTTGCAAATTAAAATATTTGATCGCAAATCAGACCATTTTATGCCCAGTCTGGAGCCCTGCTACAGATACAAAAACCTTTATTACAGCAAATAAAAAAAGCTTTTTTTTATTTGTTTATTATTTTGTTTTTTAAATTATTGAAAATGGTGCATATAGAGCCTAAAGCTTTGGAATGATTTTGATCACATGTAGAGGAAGTTGAGTGTTTTGTGTTTTGCCCTGCTGGAGGAGCTACGAGGTGAAAGTGCTACAAGGCAATGTCACGGTGGTCTGTCGAATCCTGGTCCTTGGCTCATATATTGCTGATATATGAGCATCGTTTTCACACATGTGCATGTGCAAGTCTTGGGAGAGCAAACAATGGAAAAGCACTGACTTTGAGAGGTCCTTCATGTACTACTACAGCACAGTCATGGTAATAAGATACCAGTCGTAGGAGGAAACAACAGGGGAACTGACATCTTTCTAATGCAGTTCAGTTATACTGTAAGCTGGAATACCACTAAACAGATATGTGCATGTCGAAATTATATATAAAATCTGTATGTCATACAACATGCTAAACATTTTTGTGCACAGTTCTACAGGGTCATCGACAGGATTTGAGTTCAGGAATATACTAGATTAAATTCAACTGAAGCTCTATCGACAGCATCTGACCACTAAACAGATATGTGCATGTCAAAATTATATATAAAATCTGTATGTCATACAACATGCTAAACATTTTTGTGCACAGTTCTACAGGGTCATCTGACAGGATTTGAGTTCAGGAATATACTAGATTAAATTCAACTGAAGCTCTATCGACAGCATCTGTGGTGGATGTTTGATCGCCACAGTCATTAACTTCGACTCGTCACTCTGCTCAACAAAAATGCAGTAAATTAGCCCCAGAGGGGCAGTGGTGATTTGTGTAAAAAAATAGATAATTTTCACACAGTAAACATTGAAATAAAATTTTAGGCTAATCTGTCAGTTGTAATAGAAACAAAAACACTGTGTGTCTGTGTCTATGTGTGTCTAAGTGGGTTTCATCCCATGCGTTCATCACTAAAAACCAATCAGGTGTCAGTCAGGATTGAAGCAGACAGTCAAGTAGATAGCTGAGATCAATGGCTGATGGTTTATGGAGCGGTAATCCCATCTGATTAAGAATATTGACTGCCTAAAAAGCTTTAGGACTGCGCTATACTAAATGGAAAGCAAGTTGACCCACAGCCAATCAACTGTATGGTGAAGCAGACAGCTATTGGGCAGCATCTATTATCTAACACAAGGAAAGCCACACAATAGTCGTTCACAGCCAGATAAAATTAAAAAAAAGCTTTTTACAAAACTTTTAAGGACAGGCTAAACTGAAATCAATGATTTCACAATAATATACCAGCATGCAAATGGTGTTAAAATGGTACTGTAGCTCTGTCTGCAAAAGGTTGTAGAGAAAACACAGAGAGGTTGAAACTAGCTACACATCACCAGATACTAACAAGATGGACTATTTCCACAACCATGAAATCCTATACAGCGCTCCAGTCTCCAGTCAATTTTGAATTACTGAATATATAAAAACCTTAAAATTCAATTTATTTATTTATTTTTTAACAGAGATTTTACTAACAAAACCTCTTTCATTAGACTCTTCATTAAAGGGGTCATATGATGTTGCTAAAAAGAACATTATTTTGTGTATTTGGTGTAATGAAATGTGTTTATGCGGTTTAAGGTTCAAAAAACACATTATTTTCCACATACTGTACATGATTGTTTCTCCTCTATGCCCTGCCTTTCTGAAACGCGTCGATTTTTACAAAGCTCATCGGTCTGAAAAGCGAGGTGTGATTGGCCTCAAGCGTGTGACGGAAATGTTACGCCCCTACTATACTGTGATGGCGTGTCCCGGCCAGAGCGACGAGAAAAAAACATTAAAACCCATTATAAAGGAGGCATTTGTTGCATCCAGTGGGGACATAATTACGGATTATAATGACTTATACGGTCGTGTCCTCTTTTGGAAGGCCAAACAAAGTAGTTTCACACAGCGGGCTTGAGTGAGCGGAGGTGGGCGGGCTTGAGAACGGCGCGGCTGGCGGATTCGACGAATGAGCGGCCGGCGGACTTGCAGCAACCACATGTGACGACCCCGGGCTGGACTCCGCTTCGTCCACGGT